TCTCTCTCTTCTCCTATTCTCTTCACGTATCTTCACCAGTCGTCTACTTCGTCTTCTCCACTCTCGTCGTCAGTTCAAGCTTTGTCGGTTCGTCTCCATTGCCGTCGGGTAACAAGCATCGCCGTCAGCGCACAAGAGCACCACCGTCGCAACACCGTCGATCCATTACCCCAAGTATCTCTGTCTCTCTCGCCCTCTCTATCTCGCTCTGTCCCCTTCTCTGTATGTCCCGCCGACTGGGGATTCTTAAGGTACACAAACTCAAATCGAGCATTCCCTCTCATTCCCCTTGTCGAACCCCCTTATCATTTGTTTATGTCATGAAGCTTGGTGCCGACTAAGGCTTGTTGAACCTTGTTGATCATTATAATCTGTTTTTACTAGTGTATATGATATTATATATATATATATATATATTGGTGTGCAACTAGGTCGATTTAAATTTATCTAGGTTCGGTTTGCTTTGTACCTATGAATTATCTCTTTCCTTTCCTTTGCACTTTGAAATTAGCTTCCTCCATGAATGAGCTTTCTGTAGCTAATGGTCCTGATGATAACCTCTGGTTTGCTTGGTTTAATTTGATCTTCTGAACAACAATTAGGCAAAAAATATGAATTGACACTGAAAATCTATTAGCAATAGTATGACTTGCTAGTATAGCATTGTAAAACTAGAGTGCATAAAACAAGGCTTATTCATTATTCTTCATCAATTTTTAATGTCATAGGTTTCTCAGGCACACATGCCTCCAATGTCATAGGTTTTTCAGTTAGAGGAGAGATAGTTTTAACCTGTAAGAAAGACAAATTGAATAAACATGTTTTCTGCCCCAAACCCAAATTTATGTCCAATCAGTGATGACTTATGAAACATTGACATGAACTTGGGACATGAAACAACTACGCAAGGACACACAGGCTGGGTGGATCCTAAAATCTACACTACATGGCAACAAGTTGGGGTGTGTATGTGTGTACATGCTATAACAACAGCCGAGTGTCTAAAATTATTAAAATTACTTTGAAACCATGAGACAGGACTACTTGTGGAGTATGCTAACTACTTGATGACACAAAATGGGTCAAATCAAACAATGGGATCAGACAGACTAAAATAGTAATCTGTCAATACAGTAAAAAGATTTTTTATTAATTACCTTGTCCCAATTCTCTTCAATTTCAATACCTCCACATTCTGAAAAGCTAATGGTACAAGTATTTAACACATCAGATGAAAGACCATTTATAATGTCGACTCTTACTTAGCTGTATAGTATGTTGGGAAGAAAAATGGAATAATGTGAATCTGTGACAAACAACAGAAACTTTGGAACATAATTTAGTGCTGGGATTGCCAATTAAAAGAGCACCATGTAAGCCAAGTAGTTGTTTAGTTTAAAATCTAACATCTGACTTGTCAGTAGAGTTGACATTTTCTACATTTAGTTGAACAATTTCCATAGTTTTTAAAAATTTCTCTGTTTCATTAAGTTCTAGATAATAAAAGATCTAACCTTTAAATCTTACTTTATTCTCTAGTCCAACCTTTTCCAAGCAACCAAACAGCTCTTTTCCTTTATATTCATATTTTTCAATTATGTTTATCACATTTTCCTTTATATTAATTAGATTACTATAAATGCCAACTATAACTTTAACACCCCTTCCGAAGAGGGTAGAAAAAAATACATTGCGAAATTTTTTGATTTAAAAAAATATTATTGATGCTTAGGTTTGATGTGTAACCTTCTGTATTATTTTATGTTCCCTTTCCAAATACATGCTGAAAAGAAATTGTTTTTTTAAAATAGTTTTCTTGAATCTCCAAATTATAATTCATTCTGCTTATCAAGCTTATTTTATCTTTTGACCTATCCAACATCCTTTCTACTTACAATGACACTTACACTGTTATTACCATTTATGGGAACATTTGCAATAATTAATAGAAACTATCATTCTCAAATTTGTGGCTAGAGCGTTCAATTATTAATAGAGTATATTTTCACTTACATGAAAATATGCAAAAATATTAATATTTGGGAATGTCTTTATATAAAATCCAATTCAATAACATTTTCAGAATTGGTCATACTAGTTCATTACTTAAATATGTAAAACATACTTACATGACAATGTCGATTGATTTAGTTATCTTCACTCCTTAGAATGTATGTAATATTATTTTGAAAATTATATGTGGAACTCTTTCTATCAAGTTATTGTCAAAGTTCATTCAATGGTACAAACTACTTGGGCTTTAATCATTGAAATGGGCTTTGTCTCTCTAAAACATTTCTCAACAACAAATAATGAGATATAGAATGAGTGCTGATACTTTAATCATTTAAATATGACACATTTTTCATAGTTGAAAGTGGTTGTAACAATAATACTAAAATCAGAACTTCACTCTTTTAAAATGCTTCTTTTTCTTTTTCTTCTTCTTCTTCTTCTTTTTTTTTTTTTTTTGGTAGATTGGAATTATACGTGTTACCAATGGAATCCTATATGAAAATATCAAATATATGTATCTAGAATGAGAGTGTATCAAAAAGTTGTACATTTTATAAAGAATATACAATCATTTCAAGCTTGACTAATGATAGTGGATGGGAATGCAATGCAGAGATTGACTTCTTGAAGTTCAAGCCTTGCAGTAGCAGAACATATGGAAAAGGTAAAGTTGGTGATGTGAATCATGACTTTACATTTTTAATCAAATCAATTATGTTTTAATTACCCACAATTTTTTTTTTCAATTAACATATGATTGTATTTTTTGATGCACACGGCTTTCCTTATGTATACATCTAAAACTCAGTCCTTTCCCTATACAAGACTTTTAAAAAGTTGAATACTCAGTTGATTTAAACCTTACTACATGCTATATGAACATTTCAGAATAGAGGAGAAAAGGAAGGCCCCAAAGGCTTATATATTTACAATATCCATACATTTTTCTTTATCTATACTCTCCAAATCTGAAATCCAGTCCCAAGGTATATGCATAACATTTAGTCTGTGCTACCCTTATGGTGATCGTTTACATTCCTTCAACTCATTGTGATGTCAGATTGAACCTTAAGATTGTGATTGGCTTATGATCATTCGCTCCATTGGATCTGCATACTTATATGAATACATATTGGTTTGATTTTCATGTTACTTGATCTTATATGAATACACATTCACTCCATTGGAGTACTTTTGAAGTTGGGCCTTTTCTTTTATTTTTTTGTACTTCACTTCCACTAATTTTTTCTTCTCCTTTTCATCATCAAATAGACAAAAGGTTGGATCTTTTCTACCCATGGAAAGTAATATTTTGAGTTATGTTTTGATTATTATTATTATTTTAATCACTCTGTTTTTATTCTTGTATTTGTCTACCTAATACATGCACTTAATGACTTCACCCATTGCTTTTGATTAGATCTGATACTTGATTTTACAAGTTTTTGGGATTTCTTCAGCTGTTTTATGTACGTAATGGGTTAGGTCAATGTTGTTCCTTATATTTACCATTATTCTGAGTTGCTACTGATCCTTTCATGTAGGATACTGGTGTGGCGTTTACTACTTTGGACAGTTTACCTGGTGGCATCATTCAAGCCAGGTTAGTTTTGGAGTTAAAACCTCTATGGTCAAAAAGTAGTTCAAAGTCAAAGGTTAGGTTTTGATCTTGGTATACTTTGGAAACAATACACAAACTTCCTTAGAATCATGTATTTTGTCTTCAAGTCACAAACTTTAATTCACAACGAGGGTTGTTATTATTATTTTTTAAATATATAAACAGTAACATTTTAAAGTGGTGTTAGTTATGTAGAAGATCAGTACTTCATACTTGTTGCCATCGTGCATCTTTTCTTCACTTTTCAGGTTAATGTTTCAAGCTTTCATATCTTCCTGGCAATTCCAGCTAGTATTAAACAAAAAAGTAATGTTGATGACATTGTTCAAAAGGTATAACTGTATAACTGTTTATTAATGGTTGGCGTTTAAAATCTATATCAGTTGTTAACTTAAGACATGTCATTTTGTTGACATTATTTGCCTAATTTTAGTGAATTCAGTTTCTTTTAGAGAATTTTACAATTATGTTAGTCCATTATGATGGGAACATGGATGGATGGCGGGAACTGCTTAGTCATATGATTTTGTCTATCATATATGTTCGGGCCCTAACATAGTTTTTCTATTTTACCTTTCCAGCGCTACCAATATCATCTCTCTTCCCATTCCTTTATTTCATGGTGAGTATATATTTTACCTTTTCAACGCTACCGTTTCAGCTATATTTCTAGCAGGTTTGTTACTCTAATTTTTTTGGACATCTTTTGTTTCAATAATCTTTAATTTCTATGAGGTTAGTTACTTAATAATATTGACAGCAGGTTTGTCCAATTTAATTGCTTTATTGATGTTTATATTATTAATTCTTACAATTTGTGCTTGAAACATTGTCTTTGAACCATTGTGTTTTCTTCATAGGCTCACATTAGGCAGCTTGACGACTTCCTTAGGACCTTTCATATCCAAACATTGCGGTAAATGTTTGATTTTGTATTCTTATTGAAGCAATGATTGATCATTGTTATTCTGTGATTATTTCTTTGGTTGGTTATCTAACTTGACTATACATGGGCATTTCACGATGAGGATCAGTAGAGCATTTGAAAACCGAATGATGTTAATAGATTGATTAAATTAAGAGCTTGAATTGTCCACATGGTTCAATAAAAGTGATATGATCTAGTTAGTGCTTGTTGAAATGTAAACATTAGTTTTAGATTGAGGAAAGTGCTACACCTAAATATTTGGTTTTGTAGGCTCAAGCTTTTAACTGATGCAATTTATGTCTTCATTATTTCTTAAAGGTTTGTCTTATAAGGAATTGATGAAGGATCCCTAAATGGAGCTCCAGATCGTGCATTTTCTCACTATCGAGAGAGTAAGTACAACAGAGTTTTCATACCTTGCATTTCCCATCTTGCGTTTATTAAAATTTCAAGAAATTCCATAATTTTGTTACACTATCATTTACATCCTTGCCACTAAATTCAAACAGTTTGAGATGTTTCTTTCTTCTCTAAATCTTACTCAGTAATTACCACCAATTTTTCATCATGTACCTATCATATCCAATAACTATTATAATAATTTTGTACCTTCATCAAACTATAAATGGCTAATCATACTTAATCATCAAACTATTCAAAAATTCAGAACACCACTCACACCACTTGTCCTATATATAAAGTATACAAGTTGTTTAGTGTGAATTATTGTCACGCCCCAAACTCGCCCCTAAAAGTTCGGGCATGACCTATGCAGATACGGACACATAACCTGATATATATAATATACGGGACCTGAACGGAAGCATTTAATATTACAAAGTAACATAGAATAACATCCATTGAGCTAAAACTAACATGCCAGGATCACATACGTGAGAGCCATTTATCTATATACATACCCATACACATAAATGAGCGTATATCCGAACATTGGTAAAGAAGGGTGTAGACATCCCCGAACGCCCCGGGAGGATGAGTCCCGTTCTGTTCGTATTGGGGTCACTACAGCTCGGACTCTCAAATTGTCACGGTTCTAAATCTGAACCAAAGAGTCCAAATCTGGCAAATCGTTTTGAGAAAACAGATTTTGAAAGAAGTGCCAAACATGGACTGCTTTGCTAGATACAGAGTCGCCACCTAAATGCTTTATTTTGGAGAAATTTAGAAAACCTTGACTCGTTTGCCTAAGGCCACGTGTAAACAAAAAATAATTAATGAGTGGGAAGTCGTGTATTTTCGTGGCTCAGGAATACTAAGAGTGAGAGTGAGAGTGAGAGTGAGTAGGGCCAGAGCTCTTTAGTAGGTTGATGATCAGTAGTGTGCATTTTTGGCCTTGTCTTTGTGTAGTGTGTTTTGTGGCTGGTTGAGGTGTAGTGCTGGTAAGAGTATATTCTGGCTTGTTTTTTTGTTTCACCTTTTATGTTCAAAGTCATTTCACATGGAAGCAAGCATGAGTATAGAATCACTGCGACCACTTTTCTTGTAATTCTCGTTTATTGTTGTTTTTGATACGTAGAATCAAATGAATATAATGATGTCTCACGGAAGATTTTCAATAAATTTGTTGATTGTATATATATTTGGTTTTATGACTTTAAAATATCTGGCCATACATTGAAGATTTTCATTTTGAATTTATTGATTCTATGTATATGTCATATTTATATGTGGTAACACAAACATTTTATACTAGTAACAATCAAAGTCGTTATTCCTTTTCTATTGATGCAGGGGATAAAAAGTCAGTGTGATGAGAAAATGTCCGATTTTGTCTTTTGTAAGACAATAACAGTCTCTACAAAAATAGTAAGTTTATTCATATGCTTCTAGCGGTTTCTGAATTAATTTTTTTTTTTTTAGGTCAAAAATTTCCTGGAGAGATGCAAAATATGGTTAAAGAATTCAAGAACTTAGTTTTTTGAAGGTTTTTTTTTTTCATTTTTTAATATATGTAATCACAATTAAAAACTTTTTATTAATTCTTTTGTATATACTTTTGAACATTTAATTTTTCTTTATGAAATATATGACGTTATTCCATTCAATATATGGTTGTGATTCAAAATATATATAATATATAGTGTGTATTATATTTTTCAAATGCGCGTACAAAAATAATATTGATTATTCTTCAAATTTGTCAAATTTTTTTTTATCGCAGGTTTTATTAGTTAATAATCACACTTAAAGATGTGATCTAAATGTTTTTAATCACACTTAAAAAATGTGATCTAAATGTTATTAATCACACTTAAAAGATGTGATATAAATATTTTTAACCACACTTAAAAAATGTGATCTAAATGTTATTAATCATACTTAAAAGATGTGATCTAAATGTTTTTAATTACACTTAAAAAATGTGATCTAAATGTTTTTAATCACTTAAAAGATGTGATCTAAATATTATTAATCACACTTAAAAGATGTGATGAAATCATTTTTTAATGACACTTAAAACACTCCCAAAGATCACACTTTAATAAAACTTAAAAGGTGTGATCAAAAAACATACATCACACAAAAAAAGTGTGATCTTTATCTATATTTGTAGTAGTGCTTACTCTCTAACTTATGGAATGGAGGCTATTATCCCACTTGAAGTTGGTCTCCTAACCCTCCGATCTGAACTATTTGAAAGCACAAGTAATGAGGAAGCTATTGCACAAGCACTGGATATGGCAGAAGGCCAAAGGAAAGCAGCACTGATCAAACTTGTAGCGTATTAACAGCAGCTCATCAAGAGTTTCAACTAAAAAGTTTTCCCAAGGCAATTCACACCCGGAGAACTGGTTTTGAGGAAAGTTGTGGATCACAAAAGGGTGCCTGGCGAAGGAAAACTTGGACCTAATTGGGAAGGTCCATACAAAGTCACAGTCGTTGCTGGAAATGGAGCTTACTACCTAGAGGATCTCAAAGGCAGAGCCATACCTCGGCCCTAGAATGTACCAAATCTCAAGACATACTATCAATAGAATTATCTCCTAGCTTCTCTATCAGAGTGTAAAGACATTTATCTTTTGATCAATGCAAATGCCTCCCCACTTCTCTCAAATTTTTATCTGACCAGTTTCATTGCAAGAGATTTTTATAATCAACTTGGTGTTCACCAAACGGAATTAGCTTTGATGTTTATCAAATGGATTTAGCTTTGGTGTTTATCAAACGAAATTAGCTTTGGTTTTTACCAAACTGAATTAGTTTTGATGTTTATGAAATGGATCTAGCTTCGGTGCTTACCAAACAGAATTAGTTTTGACATTTATCAAACGAATTTAGCTTTGGTCTAACCCAAACGGACTTAGTTTCGTAACAACTGAACGGGATTTAATTTTATTTAGCACTCAAACATGCCAAGTGGAACTGCTTGGTGGAATTATGTTTGGCAACTAAAATTGAACTTTAGCCAAGTGGAATTAATTGGTGGAAACCGCACTAACATATTTTAAATAAACATCTCTGAGTCCACAGAATTTCTTAAGTATCGTCGCATCAACACTTCAGTATTGCTGCATACAAACAGTGTTAGAACAAACTTGACTAAACTATATCAAGAGTAAACTTCCAATACACTTGTGCTATCGAAGTTGCAACAGACTTAAGCAGTTCTGCCTAAAGAGTACAATCTTTAGTATCAATCTTACTTAGCTCCAGGTGGGGGCAAACAATTGTTTTTTAGAACCAACCTGGACCTAAGTAAGACCCTCTCCTTTCATTACAAAACCAAACACAGTTGTATAACATATTCGTTAACCAGACCGAACATCTATTTGGCCTAGAGGTCCCAACAGTGCTTGGCCGGGGGCAAACAGTACAGATAACATTCAGACATAAAAGCAAGAAAGCATCAGATTGCAAAATCAAAAGGAAAATTTCATCATCCAACAAAGGCACAACTGGCCTCACAAACAGCAACAAAAAAGAAGAAAATTGTCTTGGCAGCCTTAAGGAGACAACTCGTTAGGAAGACCGAGCTCTAGTACAGTGGAAAGCAAAAAGAAAAAAAAGCAAAACGTGAAAACTTTGAATCATTCCAAAGAAGACTTCAACTTCCATCAACAGGAGGAACCTTAGGAGCAGCGTCCACAATCTTATCCATGCCATATTGGGGAGGAAAAGTAGAAGCAGCTCCAACTTTTTGAGAAGTAGAAGCTTTCTTATCCACATCTCTCACAACTTCAGTTTCCAGGGTTCCACCCCCTTTAACGTTCACTGTCTCATTGGCAACATTGCTCTCATGAGTTTTGGTTACAGAATCAGTCCCTGGGGAAACCTTAGCTGGAAGAATTGTAGGGGCAATAGCAATCTTTAGACCCAAGGATCTTGAGGGAACAGGGACATCCTGAAACAAGGGAGACCTTTCAAGAACCTAAGCGACAGTCAGAGCACTTAACCAACCCTTCAGAAAGAGCTTGTCCCGCAACACCAGCACCTCTTCTTTGTAAGCAACCCTAGCCTCATCCCAACCTTGCTACCAATACTTAGCCTCCAACGTAGAACATTCAGCGGCCATCACTGCAATAACAACTTCCAACTCTGTCACCTTCCCCTCAATTTGGGCCTGTAGCCCAATGATAGCTTCCTTAGACTTCTCAGCTGAGGTAACAACCTTATTCAGACGGAACACGTCCCTTTCGGCAGTGTTGTGTCCTTCTTTCTCGGCCTCCAAGCTCACTGACAATCTCTCAGCATTCATAGAGGCCTCCAGTACGGCCTTCTCTAGTTCCTTTGCTCTGGTGATTGACAAGTGCATCCTTTGAATACACTACAATAGATAGTAAGGTATTAAAAGAAAGAACACAGTAGCATAAAACCAAAAAAACACACACACACACACACTTACAGCAGTCATCATTTGGAGGGACTCCTTCAAAACGGGAATATCACGAGGCCCGTTGTGATCGACCATGCCCACTGGCATTAACAAGGTTTTGGTTAGGTCAAAAGCAAAGTCTCTGGAAGCAATAACTGAATCTGAAGTAGAAATGGGTCTGCCCTGATGCAACATTGGTGGCTCCCACTTCTCAAATAACTCACCTTCAACGGGGTCTTCAAAAGCCTCTCTAACTGCCACCTTGTCGGTCTCCCTTCTCCTCTTCTTCGCCCTTATAGAAACTGAAGCAGGGGGTTCGACAGCGGCAGTATAGGGGCCAGAGGCTCCAATCTCAAACTTTATATCCATAAAGCTCTTCATTTCATCCTTGACCGAAGGAGCCTCCAAAGCGTCAGAGGAGCCAAAAGCCTCCGCTTCCAAATCCACCAACACTCTCTTTTTCGACATAGATCCACCCCTTGCGAAATTAGGGGCAGGAGAAGGCGTCCTCTCAGACGGCACACCTTGGCTTTGGCGGCGATTCGTAACCAAAGGGGTAAGGGACGTATCAGTTTCAGTGTCAGAATCTAGAAGCGAAGCCGCGAGCCTTGCTTTCTTCGGGATGGTGGAACGCTAAGTCACTTGCTAATCCAATAGCTCAGGCGCGGACCTCTTCTTGTACTTAAAAATGGCTTTAATGGCCTCGGTATTCTCTCGGTTCGGCCTGCGCTGAAAACGAGAAACCTCTGTAGAAAAGAAGGGCAACATTAGAGCAACATTCAAAACAAGGCAAAAAACACAAAAAATACTAGAAGGAAGGTATAGACGTCCTCGAACGCCCCGGGAGGGTGAGCTCCCGTTCTGTTCATTTGGAGTCACTACAGCTCAGGACTCTAAAATTTGTCACGGTTCTTAATCTGAACCAAAGAGTCCAAATCCGGCAAATCGTTTTGAGAAAACAGATTTTTAGAAAAGAAGTGCCAAACATGGACTACTTTGCCAGATACAGAGTCGCCACCTAAATATTTTATTTTGGGGAAA